AGGCCACCAAAACGGGAATCCAAAATTTTTGGGTCTCTTTAGAACAAGAGAAGTCGAAAATATCCTGGAAATCCGGGCGAGAAAGTGGGCAACAGTCGCTGTCGCTCAAGGATACTTGGTAAAACCAGTGAAGATAATATTTGAAGGCAACAATTCCTTCAGGAATGGGACGCAGACGTAAGCTTAACAAACGGGCTCCAGCATTGTTTGGGAAGTAAGGTCCGGTCTTGTTAGCTGGTGGGAGCGGGATTCGAGACTCAGAAAACAAAGAAGGAAAATATAGGTGAATCCAAGCCTGGAGAATCCAAAAAGGACCGTAAAAAAGCCCTGAAGTCATTTCACCCATAGAAGCAGACACAAAACCCAAGCCTCAGTACAATACAGCCAAGGCTAAGCGCCCCATGGCGATCAGCATACCTTTCGACAAGTGAAAGGCTAGACCTCTCAGCTCTTTCGCCACTTGAAGCGAATGATGAAAAAAGAAGGATTTGGATAACCAATAGAGAAGAAAAACAACATGTTCTTCTTCCTCAATGGCACCCTTTCGAGAAGCATACTCACTCAAGACACGAGCATATGAAGGTTCACCTTTTGGGAGGAAATCCGGATAAAAGGAAGAGTCAAACAAGCTAGGGTCCTCTCCCGAAGGAGTTAACCCAAAAATAGCGTAAACGTCAAGAAGGGTTACCAACATGGGGCCCGATCGGAGAAAGAAGCAATTAGCAGACGAAGACCAGAAACAAATCAGAGCACCTAAAAGCCTAGGGTTCAATTTCCAATCGAAGGTACAAAACTCAAGGGCTTTGTGTCACGCCCCGAACCCCATCGAGCTCGCAACATCCCTCTTTGGTCGAATTATTGCGACGTCCTAGGAACATCGCCAACCCAACCTAAACATCAGAGACACATGCGAAAACGAATATAAAAACACCCGTACTATCAAGATGACGAGGGGTAGATCATCAGGACAGTCAAAGAACAACAACATTAACTTTTATACATTTCCATCGTACCGAGCACACAACCCATATTACAAACAGACCTAGCAAACGAGAATCCAAAACTACCGACATAACAAAAGGATCGGGTGGTTGAGTTAATTTAGCTTCACTATAGGTCGACCTATCTATCAAAAGGTGACTGGTCAGACCTACTCTACGCAACCCCTAAAATACCCTAGCGAAACCTAAGGGTCACCCTCCTCCATTTCTTCCGCTAAATCCTCTGGCTCGTACTCCGGAAGATCACGTGGACCATGATACGGGGGAATCGCCTGCAATGGTTGCAAAGTCTGCGGCTCCACTGGGGCACCATGGGTAGCTCCTCATATCCCAAAACGAAGAGGTGGGCCTCCTGGGTTCATGGCTGGGGGTCTGAAATTGTGGTTATACAACTATGAGACGAATCTCAATAAGTGCACAACCCCAAACCCCACATAGGCTCTCACGTACCGCCAAACAAAACATGCATAACACACACAACCAGTCATACCATCAATCACATGCGATCCTACCTGGAATCCATCATGCACATCCCTGCATGTCAGATAATAATACAGCCAATCCATTCACGTCCTTACTCATCAAACACTATGTCATGCGAGGCAAACCACACTCGCACACTACTCACACCATACGTCAATTTTCACAAGTCTCGTGCGTCAAGCCGTATCCAGCTCATTCTCAACTTTTCATTACTATCGCGCCCGCGTAAAACGCATCAGGCTAACAGTCTTCTGATCTCATCAGGCATCGTCACCCAGTCGGGCCGGGCATCGTCACCTCATCAGGGACGGCATCGTCCCGCGTAAACGAACACGCCTCAGGGTACCACTTTTCCAGCCATTCCAACCACCTCGTACCATCGTACCACACATACCATGTGGCCACACATAACACACGGCCACACAATCTCACGCCACACATACATTTCGCAACTGCACAACCTCGTCACACGAGCACACCACATGGTCACACATACTTGACACGCGCCCTCATTGCACGATCACACCGACACGCCTCACAGTCACACATATAGGTCACACGACCACACCACATTCAGTCCCACATTTACACAAAAATCAGCCAACAGCCACAAGCCACACAATCACATGTACGAGCTCATTTAGGCCATAAATTTACCAATCGACATATAATTCAGTCAAGAATCAATCCACTTCACCACAGCTTATCCGGGCCTACTAAACCACACATATTCAGTCACTAAATCAGTCCATAACAACCAAACATCCAACCCTTATCTAAGTCCCAAAACAACCACCTAATTTAACCTAAACCGAGTCCTAAACATGTCCAGTAATACCCGAGGTCCGAGGTAAGGTTTGGGGGAGTCACTTACCTTAAAAAGGGTGACAAATAGGCCGGACAAGGGGCTGGAACGACCGGAACAGCAGCAGCAGCCGAGCAGCGGCGCCGGCGGCCAGGCGGGCGAACGGCGGCAACATCATGGACGGCTGGCTGGCAAGCGGCGATCGGGCGACTGGGGGCGGCGATCAGGTCGTATGGACCAGGGGAGGACAGTTGGGGGTGGCTCGGTGGCGGTTGAGCTGAACAGGATAGGCGAGACAGAGAGAGAGAGAGACAGACAGACGGTGGCTGAGGCGCGGTCGGGAAGCAAGAAGCGGCGGCGCGGACGGCGGGAGGGCGGCGACCAGGCGGCTGGCGAGCTGGTGGCCGGCCAAGCTGGCTCACGCACGGGGAAGGAGGGAGAGAGAGAGTTCCAGCCGGTGGGGGTGAGGGGAGAGAGAGAGAGAAATAGATATTTATATGGTGCCCCCAATAATTGAACTCTAAAATCCCACCGAAAATTACCATTATACCTCTCTAACAACCCCTCCGATTCAAAGGCCACGGTTCGATCTTATCCAAATCCAACGGCCCACAATCAACCTTATCCAATAATTCAAGGGGCAAAAGAGTAATTACTCATGGGAGGAGAGGGGCATCCTTGTCTCTCTAATTTCGGCCAAACAGGATTAATATCATTCCCCCGACTCAATCCAGTCCTCAAAATTCGTTCGCGGTCCATAAGAGCAAAACGGTCATTTTTCCGGTCCCGAACCGAAATCTATTTTTTTACAGAAATGGGTGGCCCCAAGATTGGCCACGCCAAAAACGTTATCGGCCGCTCAAAATTGTCACTTTCGAAATTCTCGATTTCCGGGCCCGGATTCCAAGAAATGCTTAAAATCGAACAATCACGACTTTAGTTTATCTCTTACTAACGGGTGGTTCATTGGGATTACGTGCTTTCGACCCGTGACTGACACTAAGTCGAGTCACGTTTAAGTTTGCTCGAGCCAAGGCGACCTCGATTGTCATGTAATTGCGAGGGTCTGTCGCTAGTTCCCTTCGAACACGATCGATCAATTAGATCGGTCTCTGTTGGCCCAAAACATTCTCTCGTCAATCCTTATGGTCGAAGGTCGAACCAAGGTCGAGTTCTTTGGTCGGGCGAACTCAATCTCGTGATGGCCTTACCCCTCAGGTTAGCATCCCGAGAATGCGCGGTTCCGGGTGAGATCTCACTATAAGTACATTGACCAAAATATTCATTTCATAAATCCCGGGAAAAGGATCGAAAATTCAGAATGTTACACTTTGTCTATCTTAGCTCTTTTCCACGACTCTTCCATAGCAGGCTTGAGCCTGTTATACCATTGGAAGAAAACAGGGTCAAAAGGAAAGAATGACCTGAGCCTCTTAGAAGTAGACGTCCAGACATAGTCCATGATCTGCTCTTTCTAGAACGAAAGAAGCTCGGCAACGTGTCGAGGAAAGCAGCTGGAAAGAAAAGGAGGAGGGCATGGTGTCCGAAGACAGAAACCCAAAATGATCTCACCGCTAGCCTCAGAAGGACAGTTTTGTAGCGACAAGAAGACGTTGTCTACATACGCGGGTGACTGAAGCTGCTTGAAGGGACCCAGATATGTCAAAAAGTCGAGCGTAAAAGAAGAAGAAGACATGGCAGGACCAGGGCAAAAGAAGAAGGATCGAAGGCGACAAAGGAGGAAAGGTAAAAATCCAATCTTGAAGCAGCTGTTAATGGCGTCAGGAGGAGTTTAAAAGGCGCTTGGGATTGAAACCCTAAAAGATATCGAACTGCAAGGAAAGATTTGGAAAAGCTGAAAAGACGTATAGCACGGATACAGAGGATAAATATCAGCCAGTGCAATCATCAAACCAAATTAAAAGAATTGAAATCTTTCAATTTTTTTAAAGGGGGCATTTGTTGGCGTTCAAATTTGGCTAATTGAGCTAGAAAAAAAAAGGAATACATCAAGCCCAAATCGCTAAACAATAAATTGGGTAATGAAGTCGCACAAGGCCCAATATAAGGGATACCGAGAACTCGGTACCGGTAACCGCCTGGGACATCAGGATAAAGATAAGAGCGGTTACCTCATCTGGTACCGATAATATCGCGGGATAAAAGGAGCGGTTATCGGGAAGAAGATCGAATAATCCAGAATCGAGACAGTAACTGCTCGGCAGCGGTTATTCTTTAGCGTTAGTTATAAATAGCAGCCGAGAAATCATGAGGAGGTACCTTTTTGCCAAAATCAACTGCAGAACACATACATTTTTGTAACCTCGTTTATTCAATTGTTATCGTCAATTTATCTTTTATCGCACAATTTATCTTTCGTACTTTTATTTTCGTTCACCATAGCATAGAATTCGTTGCTTCCTTTTCGAAACAACATAAGACCCGGTTACTCACAAAAACCCAAAGATCTTCCCCTTCGAGACCACTCTCGGTGAAAGATCTTTCGTTCGAGACCACTCTCGGCGAAACAGGTGTATATAGGAACTGATGTCGAATCAAGATAATTAAAAGTACAAACGGAAACAAACGGTAAAGGAGGACTTGAAGGGAGTTGTAGAAATTGAAACAAATTATTAGGAATGACGTGTAATCACACACAACATTTTCGAGACAAATGAAGTTCCCAACTAGGTGCTTGTCTACTCACTTGATACAGGCATATCCCAATTGTCGAAAACGATGGACCAAATGAGAAGTTGGAGGGCATTTGGGATAATTTATCGAACGCAAAAACTCATCCTTCAAGACTGATAGAGCCGTAGAAAATCGGAGGGCTTTAATTGCATATATACCCCTCAAGACCTAGACAGCAAAAACAGTAAATAAACAGGATAGATCCTAAGATGATTAGTTATGATAAAGTAAGTCGAACACCATCTTTAGCGAACCTGTGTGAATTGTGGACCTGATTGGGAGAGTGATATGGCTAAATCCCCACAAACAGGAGGACTTCTTGCGACTATGTCGAGTGATCGTGGAGTTATACGCAAGCTGTCAAACCTTTGCACCCAAAAAAGAAATTACACGTCAGGCATCATTAGAATTCTCATGCAAATTCATTTAGCAATAACATGTACATTTCCACTCCAGACACTGACCATCAGGGTTGAGTACCTAGACGTTATTTGATATAGTATCTCAGAAAGGTCCACTTTTTGCTCAAAGTGTTGTTGCATTATGGCAAATCCAATGAGAAGAGGTTCAAGAAGTCTTATAAGACATTTCCTAATTTCAACTCCTTTCTTCTGTCTAGGATTTATTTCAGTAGGAGTAGCCAGCAACAGCCTGTCATTCAAAGCACCTACCAAAACTCGAAAAAAAAGATCATCCGGGCGTCAGAAGTACAATGACATTTAAACAATCGAAAGCTGAAATATAAATTAAAAAAACACTGGAAATTTTAGAACATCCTAAAAATACAAAACTCAGCACCTGCATAAGGCATGCTGATAGAGAGAATGGTCCTTGCTTTCCCATCCCAGCGAAGCACGCTAACTGAACTGGCTGTGGAAAACAGAAGTGCAGGCCCAACCCAAAAAATAGATCTAAAGTATGGCGAAGTTAAGAACGTACAATGTTTTCATCACATCAATAACAAAATTTTCATAATCTGTAAACATGAAATGCATTAACTCAACTGCACATGTAGCCAAGAGCAAACAGCTAATTGAAAAGCCTCTAAATTAGGATATTGCAGGCATTCCTTTGTCAAATCTGGTAGAACTGGTTGCCAGCACATCAAGATCTGCAGATACTATAAGAACCCTATGGATAGTAAGTATTCCCGCAACAAAGCCTCTGAGAGTTTCCTGCCAATGCACCTGCCGAAGTCGGACCGACATCAACATTCGAATTGGCAAACACATTTATTCAATGTCATATATAAATTTACAAAAGAAAAAGGATGCTAGCAAATGTCAATTAGATTATTAACATTAAACAACAATACGTAACAATCAGGACATAAGCCAGTATGATTTAGATGAGCTCAATTAATCACATAACAGCCAGATAGGATGACATCGAGAGGTGACAGCTGTGTTGTGTGAACCAGCACCATGATGGCAAAAGAAGTCAGACGAGAGGACATGAATCCTCCACAAAACTAGAGTGCATTATTTGGAATCGAAACTAAAAGCAAATCCAAACCACATTTCTCTGACAACGCACTTGCAGAATCTGAAGTGAAACAATAGAGCTTTTACATCTCTTCCTCTTTGGAAATTAGTTCACACATAGGGAAAAATGATCAATTTCCTTATTTAGATTTTCTCATTTCCTACCAAAAGTTACTAAAAATACATGCTATAATACGTGCACAAATGCAGTGTTATTCCTATCAGCAGCACCTCAACACATATGCCTCAAATGGAATTCAACAACGTTCATCCAGATCCACTAACTAAAGAGCCCAGATTTGTCTTCCAAGTGCACACAATTCTCAGATGCTCCTGAACAATCTAAAGCCTATATTAGCCCTCAATGAAAAGTTAATTCCAATTCTATAGCTGGTCAAAATTGGCAAAGTTCACTCAAAACTAGTATTAAGAAAAAGGTCCTAAATCACACTGCAAACTACATGTGGCCAAAAAGCGAAAAAACTACAAACTCATGCAGGAACCAAGAGTTTACAGATCCTATGCTATAACAGACATTCTAACAGACCCAAAAAAGCAGGGCAAAAGATAAAATTAACAATAATGGAAAAAATTGCTCAGATCTCTGCTCGACAAGGGGTATCTTTATGCTAGTGTAACACAGAAAAAAAGACATCCTCATGGACATTTTTTTATATCATTTGTCAAGACTGCAGGTTGCCTGGACAAAAATTAGTGAAAGGTAGAAAGATAGCCCTCTTCTTATAAGGCATATTACTTCATTCGAGTGGCACAAAGGGGGATACCAACCCATTTGCAAAATCAATTACGGGATAAAGAGTCCAGAAGGCCTAGAACAGTCCTAGTTAACATTACCTGGAGAACAATCTCATTTACTTTCAGCTTACCCACCACCGCCGCTCGCCGGCCATCCGCCACCACCCGCCGCCACCCGCCGCCACCACTCACTGGCCGGCGGGAACAGAAATTGTGTCATTATCAAACGCTATGTTGTCATTCACGCCCTAAAGGATAAATGACGAAGATTAAATAGTTCATTCTCATTTTTGGGTGGACGATCACTTAACTTCTTCTAATGATATCTAACATCACTATAGGGAGTGGAAAAGAAAAGGAAACATAGGAAAAAAATTCGGAGAATTTTAAAAAATATTGCAAAAATCGTTCACATCAGCGCCGATCGTTTGCCGTGCCATGTAAGACGGCCAGCGCTTATGCTATTGATTTCTAGCCAAAATTGGCCGGATTGACTACATTGAAAAATCGTTAAAATGTTTATAATTAAATTAGCCAAATTGAACAATTTAGGACTGAATTGGCTGCCATTCAATAGATTTAGTACTCTTTGGACAATTATCCCTCAAATTAATTTACAATGTAAAAGTCGAAGCATGTGATAAGAATATATTATAACTCAAATAAAAATGAGAAAATAATGAAAAAAAACGTGATAGTGAAGACCACCGAATATTAATCACTATTAAAAAAAAGGGAAGAAGGCATTAGCGCACTTAGTACATTTTTTATGATAATTATTTAGGATGCATTTCTGACACAGAGGAAGATATGGTTGGAAAAGGATTTCAAAAGATAATGTTTATTTTGAATAATGAAGTACCGTTTACAATATCTTAGGCACCCATTTATAGGGAGGTCGCCCTTTAGGAAAGAATCAAATAATTAAAATCAAATAAAATAATTAAGAAAAAATATTGATAAAGGGGAAAGTCTTCAAAATGTGTCTTGAAGATCTGCAAAACATGTCCGAAATCTTTGAAGGCCCAAAAATCAAGCAATTTGATTTGATATGTTGTATGTGTCAGAACTCTTTCCGAATCAAAATTATGATCATTTGAAGTTGACCTGTCATTTAAGGTGTGGGTGGGACCACCAGCTCTTATGACGCTCGAAGGTTTTCATATAAGCATTTGCTAGCTATTCTACATCAATCTCCTCCACTTCATAAGAACTCGACCTAAGTTATTCTCATGATAAAGGGGAGTATCTGAGGATTGATACTCAAATAGGTCCGCCACATCGCAGGTCAAGGAGATGTTAAGGTCACCCAGAAAATTAACAATGTAGGCATTATCATTGATCTTCTTCACAATTCTGTGGGAGCCAATTTTCTTGTGCTTCAGCTTTTTATGTGTACCGACTGTGAAGCGATCCTTGCAGATGTAGACCATCACTTCATCACCCTCAGCAAATACTTTGAGGCGGCAGTGTTCATCTGCAGTAGCTTTATAGACAATGGTGGAAGCTTCCAACTGTAGCTTCACACCCTGTTGTATCTCTTGCAATTTTGTTGCTAAGTTCTCAACTACAGCACTATATCCTGGGAGTATAGGTAGAGGCACGAGGTTTAGTGTTTGTTGTGGAGGCTTGCCCGTGGAGCGGTTGATGGTGTTGTTGAAGGCGAACTCAGCGGGAGCAAGATATCAGTCCCATTACTTTGGCATGTTGCTATAAAGGCACCAAATGGTATGTGTCATAGTACGATTGACGAATTCAAATTGACCATCACTTTGGGGATGGAAGGAGCTGCTATATTGTAAATCCATCCCAAACACTACAAAAAAACAAGGATTTAGCCACGGAAAATTAGCGACGAAAAATTTTTCGTCGCTAATTTGCGACAAAATTAGCGATGAAAAATAAATTCGTCGCTAATTTGCGACGGAATTTGCGACGAATGAAGGTGCATACAAAGTTTAATTTGGTCAAAATAAATCACAAGAAAATGTATATGAAATATGAACCATTTATCTCGGCACAACAAGCAATTCAGGTATATTATGCATCATATCCTAGTTTGAAACGTGACAAATCTGATTGGTGGGCTGTATGTAAAACCAAAGCACGAAGAAAAATCGAGGAACACTGGAAGGATACAGCATATCAACAAGAGGAAGTTTGTAACACGGTTGAAACTGAGGAATATAACATTTCAATTTTACGAGATCCATGTGGAGCAATGATAGATGTGGATCCAACTGAAATTCGCGAATCAAATTTAGAAGGTGTTGCAGAATCTGATTTTGAGACAGAGGATGAAGATGATGCTCATGAAGAAGATGAAGATCAAGACGAAGACGAAGGTGAAGACGAAGATGAAAATGAAGATTATGATTTTTGAGACTTTTTATTAATTATGTGTAATTATTATTATTATTATTATTATTATTATTGCGACATGTGTTTATTGTTGTTGTCATAATTATTATTATTGTTGTTGTTATTGTTGTTGTTGTTGCTGTTGTTGATGATGAATATTATTATTGTTATTATTGTTAATGTAATAGGTCGTCGGAAAATTCGTCGCTAAATGGCGACAAGTCAAACACTATTCGTGCGATGACATTTGCGATATTTTATTTTCCATTGGATTTGGATCGTCACTAATTGACAAAATTAGCGACGACATTTGCGACATTTTTATTTGTTGAATTGTTAAAAGGTCGTCGCTAATTGGCGACAAACTGAATTCGTTGGAAAATTTTTTATTTGATGAATTGTTAATATGAAAGGTCGTCGCCGTCGCTAATTCCGTCGCAAATTAGTGACGGATTTGAATCCGTGGCTAATTAGCGACGAAAATAAACTCTTGCGGCATTTTCCCGACTATTTTTATTTTCGTCGCTAAATCCGTGGCTAATTAGCGACGGAATTTAGCCACAGATTTTAGTCTGTGGCTAAATCCATGGCTAATTAGCCACTGACTAAAATCCGTGGCTAATTAGCCACGGATTTAACGACGAAAATAAACTCTTGATTCACTTTCCCGACTATTTTTATTTTCGTCGCTAAATCCGTGGCTAATTAGCAATGGATTAAAATCCGTGGCTAATTAGCCATGAATTTAGCCACAGATTTTATTCTGTGGCTAATTAGCCACGGATTTAGCGACGAAAATAAACTCTCGCTTCACTTTCCCGTTTATTTTTAATTTTGTCGTTAAATCTGTGGCTAATTAGCCACGGAAATAAACTCTCGCTTCACTTTCCCGACTATTTTTATTTTCGTTGCTAAATCCGTAGCTAATTAGCAACAGATTTAGCAACGAAAATAAACTCTAGCTTCACTTTCCCGACTATTTTTTATTTTCGTGGCTAAATCTGTGGCTATTTAGCCACGGATTAAAATCCGTCGCTAATTAGCCACGGACTAAAATCCGTGGCTAAATTGTTTATGTAAAATGTCGTCGCTAAATCCATCGCTAATTAGCGACGAATTACTGTCGTCGCAAAATTTTTTTATTTTCTAAATTGTTTATGTAAACTGTCATCGCTAAATCCGTCGCCAATTAGCGACGGAAAATAATTCGTCTCTAATCCGTTCATTTGGCGGAAAATATTCTCCCGGAAAATATTTTCCGGATTTTCCGTTGTTCGGGGGGCGGAAAACGTTTTCCGTGGGAAAATATTTTCCTTCCCCCCTTCACAAAATAGCATAAGTTTACGGAAAATGACTTCCGCTTCTTCAAAAGCGGAAATCATTTTTCGGAGCTTCTTCTTCTTCTTCTTCACTAAGGTCGCCGGCCGCCGCCGCCACCACCACCACCGGTCGCCGCGGCCGCCACCGGTCGCCGGCAGCCGCTGTCGCCGCCGCGCCGGCCGCCGCCGGCGCCGCCCGCCGCCGGTAGCCGGCATCCGCCGGCGCGCGGCGTTGGCCGTCGGTTGCCGTCCCCGCCGCCGCCGCCGAACGTTGGCCGTCGGTCGCCGGCCGCCAGAAGCCGCCGCCAGACGCCGCGGCCGGCCGCCGCCGAAAAATATTTTCCGAAACTTTTTCATATTGGTCGCCGAACACCGGAAAATTATGTTCCGGGAAAACATTTTTCAGGAAAATGACTTCCGGGAAAATATTTTCCAAAAGGAGAATATTTTCCGCCAAACGAACGAAGCCTAATTTTGTTGCAAAATTCATCGCTAATTTCGTCACAAAATTACACTACAAAAAGTAAATTCAACCACGGAAAATTAGCAACGAACGTTTTTGTCTGTCGCTAAAATTAGCGATGGAACTTCCCCCCTGCGACTCCTCGCCATGGCCTCCGGAACCCTAGAGGCCGCGGAGCCCGAAGGGGCGACGGCTCCTCCCCCCGTCGAGGGCAAGGAGGTGGTGGTCGGCGGTGCAGATCAAAAGCAGAGGATCAACATCAACGACGTGCTCGACAAGCACCTCCTCATAGCAATTCGGCTCGCTTCAAGGCCAACTCCAATGGTTCAATGGTTCATCTCTCTCTCTCTCTCTCTCTCTCTCTCTCTCTCTCTCTCTCTCTCTCTCTCTCTCTCTCTCTCGTCAAATTTGATGATGTGTCGTGTGAGTTCCCTTCTCGTGCGCGTCGTTTCGGGTTCAGTCTAATTCTCGAAAGGAAATAAGAGGGATTCCGTTTGTTATCTGCGCTTTCGTGTCTGTGCTTGTTTAGAAGTGGAGGTTGATTTAGCACGGGGCCGTACCCATCAATATGTATATCTGTCTACATAAGTTTGGATTTTGCTTGGGGATTTCGACGATTCGAGTGTTTCAGCTCTTGATGTATTGAGCATGTTTTTTTATTAGTTTAGGGGAAGAGTTAAGTGTGTCCCCTGTCGAACTCTTGGTATTAAGCCGGAGCTTTTGATACTTGAGTTGCTGAAACAAAGTGTGATTTTCGGGTATCAACTATCCATTACGGAATTTATTATAGTGTTAGCACGGAGAGAGCATGTAATGGATTCTTTTGTGTATATTTACTTGTTGCCTCGTTTTAAGATGATCTCTCTATCTCTCGCTTTGAAGGAATTATTCCTAAGAGTTTGTGATGGAGCCTGTGGATTTGAAGAAGTGCAGTAAAGTGGAGGTGATAGTGGAGGGGTGAAAGAGACACACGGGTTGTTTTTGTAGTCTCCAATCTCCATATGAAAGTCCAATTTCTTAAGATAAGATGCTGATGCTCTGGTGCTTATGCTTTAAGCGGCCAATGTTCCTCCTAGTTTGCTGTTTACATTTGCCTTGTGTTTTGAGTCTTAACACCTGAATTTATATGAATCCACATTGTGTAGATTTTTGGCCAGTTCTTGTTATCTGAAGGCTTTATTGAAATCCACACTCCGAAACTGATAGCTGGATCCAGTGAAGGAGGTTCTGCTATGTTTAAACTGGACTATAAAGGGTGCCCTGCATGCCTGGTGTAGTCACCTCAGCTTCATAATCAAATGGCCATTTGTGGTGACTTTGGGTGTGTTTTTGAGATTGGCCCTGTTTTTAGGGCAGAAGACTCCTTCACACATAGGCATTTGTGTGAATTTACTGGCCTTGATGTTGAAATGGAGATTAAGAAGCACTATTGTGAGGTTGGATTGGATACTTTTTCATTTAACTGAACTTTCAGTTTAGCTTAACGAACTAAACATTTATGTGCAGGTAATGGACATTGTGGACAAGTTGTTCGTTACAATGTTCGACTCATTGAATGCGAGTTGCAAGAAAGAACTTGAAGCTATTGGAAGACAATACACCTTTGAACCTTTAAAGGTTATAATATGATCTTTTTTTTTTTTTTGCAATCTGATTACATAAATAGTGCAACTCATGGGCAGTAACCTTTAATTGCAGTACTTGAGAAAGACCTTGTGGCTTACTTTTCAAGAAGATGTTCAAATGCTCAAGGTGAGGAAAAAAATTTCGGCAGCTAAATAGCTGCCCATAAAAAAAAAAGGGAACAAATAGAGTAGCAACATATCGGTTCATTGGCACTTCTATATCATGGCTGTAAAAGTAGGACAGTGAGTTCTCTTGCTGATTTTTTATTTGTTGCTTTTAAATGAAACTGATTGTTTGTGATAGCACTCCTCTTACCTGATGATTTGTTTTGTTGGAAGAGGAACCACAAGAAAGTGATATTTACAACTATATGCTTGTTGACACCTAATTTTTAACCGACGCATCATTAAAAGCAGAAAATGCAAGATTAGGATTTATGATCGTGATAGAGCCCGTTTCTTGAACAAAAAGTGTCATTTTTTTCTGGCCTAGCTTCTATAGACAATTTTATACTCATTTCATACAAAAACCCGAAAAGTCAAAATGTTGACTTTCGAGTTGACTTTTGGTCAACCCTTTGACTAAAAGTCAACCCTAGGTCAAATTGGGGCTTTTCGCATAAAAAGATTCCTTTCAAGTCCAATTTTACTTTAGAAATGGAAATTTTAGAAAAATTCAAAGATTTGATCATAAAATCAAACTCCTAATAAAAAGTCAACTAGAGTTTGACTTTTGGTCAAACCTTTGACCAAAAAAAAAATTGAAAATACAAAAATCCCAAAATCATCTTATTTTACATTCAATTTGCCTTTGGCATTTGAAATTCTACAAAAATCAGTTTAGAATCAATTTTTCCTCAATTTATGGATTTATCAAAGAAATCGAAAAACCCCAAAATTCAATTGAAAATTGGGAATTTTAAACCCAAATTTGGGATCATAACCAATTCGAAATTGTCGAACCCTGAGACCAACATTTCTTGGGTTAATTAGTCATGGGTAATCCAATTTTGGCATCAATTTTGCTCAATCAGGTCATTTAATTACTGGATTGAATAGAACCTTAGTGACCCGGATTTTAAAATTTGGAAATTTTTGGTTTATTTGCGACAAAATTAGGGTAAATCTCATATTTTGATGCAAAATGTGCCAAGGAATCCAATTTTGGGGTTAAATCTGAAAAATTAGGTCAAAATCGGGCTTAATTTGCGAATTTAGACCAACCCGGGTTTGCCGAGTCAACCAGGTCGGTCTCCTTCCTTACCCGACTTGCCCAAAACGTGATAAAAACCCAAAAAAATATCTTGTACCTGCCTCTTGATCAATTTAATCAATAAAAAATTATAAGCACGTGTTAATCTTCGATTCCAGCTGAAGAATCTCTAGCTGGTGTCGAAGATTCAATCTAATCGATTTAGAGTTGATGATAACTATTTTTGGGTGGGAAATCGAGCTACAAAAGAGAGGAAAAAATCATTATTAGGGAAGACCAGATGTTCGACGAAATTCCAGAGAGAAGAGAGAAAGAAAGAGAGATTTTTAGAGAGGAAGTGAGTCGAGGCTCTCAAGACCGAGTGATCAGCGCTTTTTCGGCTGGAAAAGCACCGGCGAATCGGCCTATACGGTGAGCTTCCTCACCTGAGATGGTCGGTGAGAGGTTGATCGCCATCACCTGAAAGTTGTGCTCGGCTGGCGTGTCCAGAGCCCTTCCGGCGAAGCTAAGACCATTAGTTGGAAGTCCAAGTGTCGAAGAATAGCTCCACAGACACCGATTAATCCAGGAACTCCGATTCGGCTACATTCGAAGAAGGTAAACTCTGATCATTGCCACGGTTTTTTTTTTTCCAGAATTCCAGATAATGAGCTTGACTTTAATGTGAAAATCCATGCGATCTCTTTGATGATTTTGAACATTTTGATGTCTAAAACATGTTTCTGATCATATTTTGTGTTGTTTGATTGCATTTGGGTTGTTAAATGGAATAAACGAATCAATCCGACATTGAAACCTCATCGCCGGAAATCAGAGACCTTCGCCGGAGCATCCCTATGGCCATAGGCCGTCCAAGTTAGCATTTTCTCACCTTGTTTGATGATTTTTTATTGATTTGGACTGACGTAGACAGATAGGGCGATTTGTATGATAATCTGTGGGCTTGGATAGCTAGTTTACGATAGTTTGCAAGTTAAGTTTTTAGATCGATTTTACGCCGGCCGGCAGTGGTCCGACGACAAGTCAGTCAAGTTAGGTTGATAGGGGGAAACATGATCTTCATATTCAATGAATTAGAATGACAAAGAGCTCACTGGAAGGTCACCGGAGTCGAGCTCAAACCAGTGACCTCAATAACTCAAAACGAAGAAACATGCACACTAGGTGCTCGGAGAAATGCCACAATGAAGAAGGATTGAAACGGCGCCGTTTTGGCGTTGTTCTCACTGGCACCGACGCCGGCCAGTTCAGCTTGACCGAACCGGGTCAAACCGGTCCGACCCGGTTCATTCACCTCGACGGGAAATTTTAAAAATTAAAAAAAAAATTAAAAAATTAGAAAATTAGATAAATCAAATAAAAATTTAGAAAATCAGAAAAATTCTTAAAAAAATTAGAAAACTCTAATAATTTCTAAAAAATTTCTAAAAAATTTCAGAAAATCTAAAAAAAATGATAAAAAAATAAAAAATAAAAAAATTAGAAGATTAAAAAATAATTAAAAAATTAAAAAATTTCTCAAAAACATAAAAATCAACTCTCGGAAAAGATAATTCTCAAAAAAAAATTCAAAAAATTCAAAAATTCACAGAATGACCCAAAAACATAGTGGCCAACCTTTGCAAGTGAAATTAGAATTCTTAGAGATGCCTAAACAGCATTTTTAGAAAATCCTTAGTTTAGGGGTCTTTACCCCTAAAAAACCCTAAACCCTAAAATGACACACATCATTGAATGAACAAGCCTTTAGGGCTTTACTAGGGTTTGGGTGTTTTGAATTGATTTTCATTTTAGAGATTCAAATTAGGATTGTTTTGTTTGATTGCAATTGATTGTGTTGCTTATATTAATTGATTAAGTTCTCACATTTCGAATTGTTAGTATTAGTGGATAGACCTCGGAAACTCGTGTGGCACGTTAGACACATCATATTGTTTTAGGTACCGAAAGGGCGTTAGGGATCTCGATTTGGGATCATTAGCGTAACCAAGTTCCCGTATTCAGAATCTCTGCTTCGCAGAATCGTGGTATTTCTCCAGTACCCCGATTAGATTTCTAGTCAACCTACCAATAATGACTAGTGGCGACTCCAAATCAAAAACCTAGATTGAATAGAATGATAAGAAAATCACAACCCGCTGTCACGTGAGGTATGGTCTAGGAGAGACCCCCCATTTGTCTAGTGATGGGATGTTTGTGGGACGTATGGGCGAAATATCCGCATCGGACCTTAGTAGCCCGTTCGAGGACAGTTTCCCCATTCGTGACAAATGGAAGTACCTCCTTAGCGTGCTCGAAAAAGGCACGGCGCAACAGGCTTGACGACTTCACTGGGGAAATCCTAAATTCTAAGTGGACTTAGGCCTAGATAGAACGATATGCATGTGTTTTGTGCTCGCACAAGGATCCCAGGTACGTCTCACTAATGATCGTGTTAAATGGTTTTGTAGGTGGAAGGTATAAGGGGTGTTGTCTTTGTTGACCTTTGTTTTGTAGGATGGTGTTGAGATTGAATATGATTTGATTGAATTTTTGGAATGCTGTTTGTAATTAAATTGCTATGCATGTCTTTAAATTGCTTTAGCACTACACCGTTCGCACACACTACTCGTGGCCCAACCCTGACTACATTTAGGATTACCCTTACGAGGTATGTGTTTAGGCGAAACTATGAGTCGATTCCTCATCGGATCGTTTAAATGCAATACCGATCACCGAGGTGGAATAATATTCCATTACTTTAGGCCGATTGCCTATTGGAATGGAATCCCTTGTCCATTAAAGTGGTGACCTCAAGCCTTTAGCATATCCTACCCCTTTTAGGTGTCAAAATCTCACTTGTTGCATCTGCATGTCTTTGTGATTGGTTTACCTAAAGCCATACAAAAATGTTTCGGTGAGTAAGTATCGTTCCATTCCATTCTCTTAATTTCAATTATGCAAGTTAGTTGACACAATTTGAATAAAATGCCTAAATGATAACCAATGGTTGATCTAAATGCCCTTTTTGTACTAGAATGAATGATTAGGGAAACATGCTCCATTTGGCTTTTTTTTAGATGGAATGTATAGGTCTATGGCGAATTTTCAATGTAATTCGAATGATGATGTGCTCAAAATGTGACATGTACAATTTAATGAGCCGAATGTTCATTTTAATGTATTCGAAATTGTAAACCATAGGCTAGGACTTTATGGTCTAAATGAAGCATGACGAAAGGGCATTTGCATCAAACACTGATTTCATCCCCATTTCAAGTATATGCTCTTTAAGGCTTAAATGGATTAAATGTGACTTTTGTATCACTTTCTAAGTATGCAAATGTACTTTACCTCCAGTTTACCCTAAAAGGACATATGATTGAAATGGAGGCACTAAAATTAATTGGTAATTCATGGTGACTGATAAAAACTTTCTTTTGAATGCTTTAGATCAAACATGGAGAAATTAGATATACAAGTCATTCCAGTCCATTGAAAGGAGCTTTTGACATGACATGGTGGGGAAATATGACCAAAGACAACCAGGTTTATGTCAAAGAAAGTCTTTGATACATATTTGAGCTTATCAACCTTAAACCTCAAGTGAGCTTAATTCAGGCGTTAGCCCATTTTTGGGAAGTCGCCACTACTACATTTCAACTTGGAGAACACGAAATGGTGCTAACGTTAGAAGAATATAAAGCTACCATTGGGATTGATTTCAAACCAAGAATTATAGAACCCCCGATTGGATTAAAGCCTCTAAGTGTGATAGCTAAATTCCTCAATTTGAAGACTTCTCAAGTGGAAAAGCTGATTAAGTCGACTACTGGGAGATTTCCCTTATCCTTTCTAATGGCGAAGTACTCCAAATTGCCAAAGGAAATCGGGAATATTTCTGCGGAAGTCTTCATTCTTGCTTTCTTTGGGTTCATCTTATTCCCTACATCAAGAACTAGGTTGAATCCTCTAGTTGCAGTAATTGCTAGGCAAGCCTGCTTAAGGTAGGACTTCTCCAATATGCTTTTAGCGGAAACTATCATTTCTTTGAACAAGCACCAAAGCCAAGAGAAAGGTGTACTCCAAGCTTCAGCCGGATTACTCTCTATATGGTTCGTTTCACATATTCGACCTTGGGAACGACACATGTGCATTCAAGAAATTTGTTCAGCCATCAATCCTATTGAAAGGTACCTTAAAA